TATTTCAAGTCCCTAGCGATGCATATGATCAACGCAGCCAGACTCTGTCTTTCCTGTGCTATGGGGCTCCACTCACCCCCCAACTATACGCGATTGGCTCAATCGAGTAGGCAAAGTGGCGGAAATGGAGGAACTGATTGCGACTGCACTTGATCTGCCAACTAAATACTCACATGTTTGGGCCTGCTGGACCCACTTTGTAACTACCCCCCCTGAATTCGGATCTCTCATGGGTCGGGATACCTGATTGAGCTCAGCCCTACCTCTGGTTATGCCCTGGTTCTCTCATAATCTGTGTGGTTATGACCTCTTTTCCGGTAATTTATATTTGCCTGCTTAGCTTTGGTGAGTGTTTAAATTCTTGACACTCTCATTTATGATCTCCAATAACAATGCTGACACGAACGTCGCAAGCCCGGACCCTTCGCTTCCCTTGCTTCCCCCCCTTTTTTTTTTTTTTTTTGCCTCTTATTCCCCTTCTCCCTCTCCCCTTACTCTACCCCCCCCCCCCACCCCCTTTTTTTTTTTTTTTTTTTTCTCTCCCCCTCTTTCTCTTCTCTCTCTCTACTATGACTCCCATTCTTTTCCTTTTCTTATCCTTTTCTTTTTCTTTCTATTCCCCTTTTTTCTTTTCTTTCTCGACAACCTCTTAGTCTTCGATCAGGCTTAATCTTCATTTATATCCAGGATTACTTGGTATATGGTTAGCTTCTCTCCTCTAGGATAGTCAATGGTACTCACGACGTCTTCTTCTTATACTACAATGCTCACTTAGCCTCATGATAGTGTTACTGCTTTTGGTTTTAGGCTCTGAAGGTTCATTTCCTCCATGCTTAGGCCAGTACGCCAATATTCACTTGGTGGAAGTAAAGCTGTTATCACCTTCTTTATGGTACATTTTTGAATCTTGAGTACTACAGGCATATCTCTCTGCCGTAATTTGCCATGCTTATGTTATCCATAGTGTCGCACTCTACCATGTTGTTTTCTTCCTGTATTTTGGTTTAAGCTGTGTCTATGACCTGATTGATGCTGCGTGTGCATTTCTTTATATTTTCCTGTAACATGTTGTCACTTCTAATAAATAAACTTTTATGGAATAAAAAGAGACATGTCCGATTTCTGAGAAGTGTGGTCCATTTCAGGTGCAGATTACAGGCCATTGTCTTCTATGGGAACCGTTTCTAAACCACATATATATGTGAACAAGATAACATCCTCAGCTAATCCTGTCCTGAACTGACTTAAACCTGACATGAACCTTTGAACAGCTACTGTATTAATTAGCTGTGAAAACCTGAGCTATGATCCACACCACACATGTGAATCAGCTCTAACCCTAGGTTCACACCTAAGCATTTTCAGCAGAGTTTTGCATTTTACAGCAATGCACTACAGTCCATTTAACATGATTTCCTATGGGACATGTTCACCTGGTTTTCACCTGGTGCGCTTTTTGGAAAGGGTCAGGGACTTTTTTAAATGCAAAAAGTTTAGTTTTTGGTTCTATAGACTTCAATGGAAACGCTGCAGAAAAGCATATAGGTCCATTTTGGATGTGTTTTTGCTGCAGTTTTGATGCTTTTTGCGTTTTAAAATCTGCCTAGCAACAAGAAAAAAAATGCATCAAAAGCGCGCCAAAAACGCATGTGCAAAAAAGCAAAACGCAGAAAAGGATCAAACACAAACTGCATAGGTGTGAACCTAGCCTAAATGTTTAACAATGATGCAGATTTCACTGTGTAGGAAACATAAAATCTTTGTATAAATCCAACCAGTAGGCCAAATTGAGGTTTAGGAAAGTAAGAACTACACAAAAATTTTCAAGTAACTTTTGCTTAATAATAATAATCCTTCCTGAAGACATATTTAAAGGGATCCCTAAAATGGTTTGAATTTAAAATACAATTCTGGTTTTGAGCCCTTTCCCAGACATTTCTTTATATGTACCTTCCTTCCTGATGTCTTTTAGTTCAGTCAAGTAACATATGGGGTCCTTTTCCTCCTAATCTATCTGGAATGTTGCAAATATTTGCACTCATGTAATGAGTATTTTCCTGTAAGCCTAGGGTGGCATTTCTTGATGCCATGGGCTCACAGGAAGTGGATTATAAGTAGCTGGAGGTTGTTAATCACAGATGAGGACCAGCTCTGGACTACAGAAGAGGGTGCAAAGGGAAACACTGGAATTGTTATACAGAAGAAAAAGGGGGAGGGGAGTGATGTATGTAAACAATGTAAATGGGGTTACTTGCATTTTAATATTAATAGGTGTCGATTTTCAGAGCACTGTAGGTTTTCTAAAGAAAAAGCAAAGCGTTAGCAAAATCATTTTTGTCTTTGATTGAAAACCTGGACAGAGCTATATAGAAGGAGAGGGGAAAAGGCATAAATCACTGCTCTGACTTATTTACAAACGTATGCAAATTTTAGCTTGAGCTACTGAACTATGGAAACAGGGAAAAGGTAAATATGTGCAAAGGAAGTGAAAGCATCACCTGCTGGCTTGATACGAAAAGTATCAAACACTAATATACAATATTTCATATTTACTTGACAAAAATAAATAAATACACAACAACAATCGGAACTAACAGGCTGTGCAGGCCTAATATCTGTTAGCTCAAAATACACATCTCTGTAATTTTTACAAAATTATTTACACAAGCTTCTCTGAACAGCAATCTGCAAAAAAAAAAAAATCAGTTTTCAGAGGGCAGTGGGAAGGGGTTATTTCGCTTTCTCACCACCTGTTTCAGTGTGCACCGCACATCATTGCAGGCCAGGTCATTCAGCTGAATGGGTTGCGTTCAGCAAGTGGTATTGCCTATGGATGGTAGAAGATCATTTTTGCCATGACATCATGGTGCAAAGCAGTGCAGCTGCAGCTTGTGTACACCCTGTCAACTGCCTTTGCAGCTTAAGGAGGAGGCATGAAAACACAACCCAACTGCATGTTTTTACCACCTCCCCTCCCTCACAGGCACACACACCACACCCCCACGCACACCGCAAATATAAACATAGCTAACAGTCTTGATCTGTCTGCTTCACAAGCTTCAGAGCACTAGCTATTTGTCTCACTTGATGCTTTACTGGCTGTCAGGAAGAGAGGTATAGCTGGGGGTGGTCCTAGGAAGGGGTCTAGGAAGGTGGAGAGAACTCTAGGTGACTTACAAACCCAGCTATACAACCTCCTGCTACTATAAAGCTAACTAAATAAATACACACACACACACACATATATATATATATATATATATATATGTGTGTGTATATATATATTTTATTATTACAGTATTATTATACAGTATTTATATAGCGCCAAAAGGTTTGCTCAGCGCTGTACATTATTATTATTATAATATATATATATATATATATATATATATTATATATATATATATACACACAGTATATACAGTTGTGTTCAAAATAATAGCAGTCAGACATCACTAACCTGATCAATCACTGTTTTTGGTAGAAATGATATTTTCTACATGGCAAATAATTACTAGCAGGTGTGGTAGAGTAATAGAAATCCAACAGACCCAACAGTCATGACATGCATGCTGCTGATTCTGTGTAATTGAATCACTAATTGAAAGGAGCATGTTCAAAATAATAGCAGTGTGGAGTTCTATTAGTGAGGTCATTCATTCTTTGAAAAACAGGTGGCAATTATTGCCCTTATTTAAGGAAGGAAGGCAGCAAATGTTGTACATGATGGTTACAGTGCATTTCTCAGTACCTTGATTAAAAAGTTGATTGGAGAGGAGAAAACATATAAAAAGTGCAGAAAATGATAGGCTGCTCAGCTAAAATGATCGCAAATGCTTTAAAATGGCAACCAAAACCTGAAAGACGTGGAAGAAAGCAAAAAACTACCATTCGAATGGATAGAAGAATAGCCAAAATAGCAAGGACCTCAGCCAACAATCAGCTCCAGGAAGATCAAAGAAGGTCTAAAGTTACCTGTGAGTACTGTTACAATTAGAAAGACGCCTGTGTGAAGCCAAGCTATCTGCAAGAAGCCCCCGCAAAGTCCCACTGTTGAAAAAAAGACATGTGCTGAAGAGGTTACAATTTGCCAAAGAGCACATTGACTGGCCTAAAGAGAAATGGCGCAACATTTTGTGGACTGATGAAAGTAATATTGTTCTTTTTGGGCCTAGTGGCCGGAGACAGTTTGTCAGACGACCCCCAAACACTGAATTCAAGCCACAGTACACTGTGAAGACAGTGAAGCATGGTTGCGCAAGCATCATGATATGGGGATGTTTCTCATACTACGGTGTTGGGCCTATTTATCGCATACCAGGGATCATGGATCAGTTTGAATACATCAGAATACTTGAAGAGGTCATGCTGCCTTATGCTGAAGAGGAAATGCCCTTGAAATGGGTGTTCCAACAAGACAACGACCCCAAACACACCAGTAAACATGCAACATCTTGCTTCCAGACCAACAAGATTGACGTTATGGAGTGGCCAGCCCAATGCAGTTTCTGAGGCAAAACCAAGAAATAGAGAACTGTGGAATGTAGTCCAGTCATCCTGGGCTGTAATACCTGTTCACAAGTGCCAGAAGTTGGTTGACTCCATGCAACACAGATGTACAGCAGTTCTCAGAAACAGTGCTTATACAACTAAATATTAATTAAGTGATTCAAAGAAAAGCAAAATCTTCAAACATTTTTCAGTTTATATAGTGAATGTTTGAGTTTGTAAAGAAGAATACAAACACTGCTATTTTTTTGAACAGTCTAATATTTACTTTTCTTAAATTTTTTAGAGGAACAACACAAATTTGATATATTTGTCTTCATGTTTTGATTTGGAATAGAATGTGTAGTGTTCCCAATGCATTTGTGTGCATGGAAATAAAAGCTATTAGAAGGATTTTGAGCTTTATTCACTTTTTTCAACACACTGCTATTATTTTGAACACAACTCTATATATGCTGTGAATTAAATGCCCTTTTCTATTTTCTATACAGATACTTAAAGCTGACTCCTCCCCACGAGTTTTAGCAACACACTTCAATTATGACCAAATCCCAAAATCATTCTTTGAGAAGAAAGTAAAGGTAAGTTATAGAAAGTGTCTTATTTCATATGAATCTAATGTAATGGTGGTGCCTGGCTGCCATTTTTTCTGCATGTGACGGCAGATTACTGTAATGCTGGGAAGCGGGGACACTGTTTGCAATGTGTTAAACGACTTTACATCACTTTCGGCTTCTACTTAATGCAATTATTGATTCCTCTTATATAGTGGTGGTTTTAAGATCTCTCATTGTTCTTGTCCTGCATTATTCACTGTTGTTAAGATTGTGATCACGATTAATTTTTTTCTTTAAATTTTAGAGGGTGTCTATGGTGACATTTTGTATGGGTAGCCCTGCATTGTGTCATCATGTTCTGTCATGTCCTTATTAGTTCTAGGACTTTTAAGTTTGGTATTTTGCGACCATATACCAACATGATACAAGAAAGTGGATCCTGAGGAAGCAGTCTATATGTGAAATGTGTTGATCCACTACCATTTGTAGAATGTTCATTATACATTGAACTTGGTGTTTCTGATGGATTTGGTTTTTAACTGTGTTTTAATGTACATATAAAGCTGTATTTTACTTGTATGTATACTGGTATTGCTGGCACATTAAAAATTGCCACATTCCAGTCTTCCTATAGGTTGATTGGAAAATCTTCTCTTATTTATATTGTTAATTTAATATGAAAACTGTACTCTTTGGTAGTAGCACATGTAGAGATAATATAGACCTTGATAAAATATTGGGCCATACTAGTGCCAGTATCAATGGCAATAATAAGAATATGAAATATGCTTTCACTGTCTAACTCCTGGGTGCCCAACGTGCAGCTCAGAGCCTACATGCAACCCTTTGGCACTTTTTGTGCGGCCCTTGGGGCCCCTGCAGCCACTACGGTGTCTCCATTCTATGGTTCCAGAAGTATATTCCTAGTCTCCAACAACTACTATAGCATGTTTGCACTTCCTGTCTATCCCCTGTAGCATACCTACAGTTTCTCATCATGTCCTGTACCCCACCTGCAGTCTCTGACCATCAATTCGGTTATGGCCAAAGCCTTTGACCAAATCCTGTTGTGCGTCTGCTCTCTCTGACACCGACTATTTATATTATGTGCTGCCCTTTGATGATGCCAGGGGCTGCACTTGAGGCATCCTATATCAAAAAGTTTGACAATTACTGGTCTAATTTCCAATATAAACATAGAATCTAAAATATAGTCTAAGGGCAAAAACACATTTCATGTTATAGTCTTAGGTCCAGTTGTTTGGTTTTGACTGATCTTTTCTCTTGTGCATTTTTAATCAACCAAACTCTTTATTAAGAGAAGACATGTAGTCACATTACAAATCCAAGGAAAACAAACACAAAATGGATAACAAAAGAGTATGCGATACACAGATGATAAATCCTTTGCCACAGGCAAGGAAAGGGAGGCTAACATAATAACATCTAGTATAATAGTCATACAGGAAATGATTATTCCTCCTCCTCCTCATCACAGGTGATCGTGGAGTCAATCCATTTATCCCAAACTTTATGGTATTTAGCATGGCATCCTCTATGTACTGTATATATATAACTTTCTTTTATGGTAAGGTGCTGTTTATTGCAGCAACCCACTGTGAAAACATTGGCGGCAACACCTGCAGCCACGTGCGAGGGATCAATAATCTAGCCACAAAGTTTCTTGCAGAAAAAGAGTTTGAAACTTGTCAGTTTCCGAACTAAGGAGAAGACCAAGTAAACACTGCTTGGGGAAGAGGTGAGGGGAGAACCCATTTTATCATGGAGAAATCGGACCACCTGAGACCAGTAGCTCTGAATTAGAGGACAAGACCATATTAAATGAAAAAAAGTACTATTAGGGTCCCCACACTTAGGACAAAGCGGATTGTGCTGTGGTCTATATTTAGACAACCGAATGGGTGTTAAATAAGTTCTATATATTATATATAGCTGAGTGAGGTTGTCTGACAATTTCAGGGAGACCATCTTGGTTGAGGACATCACCTCCTCCCACATTTCATCATCCAGCTCCCCCACGTCCACCTCCCAGTGAGTTTTAAGTCGATAAGCCAATGTTGATGCAGTAGGTAAAAGTAGGGCATTATAAAATGTAGATGTAAATTTTTTGGACTCCGTACCCAAAATCACCTTCATGAGACAGGTAGAGTCAAGCTGCAAATTGGAGTCACCAAATTGGGCACGCAGTGCATGGCGGAACTGGAGATAATGAAAAAAACATAAAATTGGGGAGGCTATATTCCATTTTGAGGTCCTGAAAGGATTTGGCACCAGTGAACACCTGAGAAACATACAAAATTCCCCTATTGATCCATAAGCGGAAGTCAAGAAGTGTTACTAATTCAGGGAGGTCCGGGTTGTCCCACAGGGGGGTATGAGAGTAGATGTGTGGAATTTGTAACTTACTAGAGGCCAGCGACCAAATCTAACGATGATACGGTAATCCTCTTCGGCCACCCATAATTGAGGGATCACGCACACCCTGTAGCCTCCCTAGTGGTCTGATTATGTCAGTATTTCTGTGCTCAATGCGGTACATTTTTTTGCATGGAAATATGTTGTTTTTTTTATAGTAGGCCTGTAATTTTTAGGAATAACTCACTGAAATCTGTCATGAACAAGAGTCTAGTAAACATCCCCGTATGATAAAATTTGAAACACGAAATCATAAATTATAATTTAATAAATAATCACAAAAAATAATAATATAATAATAATAAATTTAATTCAATAATGTAATCAAACCAAAAACACTGAAATTTGAAATAGAGCGCAGAGTTCGTATATCACTGAGCAAAGTCGCAAAATCATTTTCAGTGTCTGATGACGAATTTCGCTACGAATCATTATCACTCAATTCTGCAAGTAGTTCTGATTTACTATCGCTGTTCTCTAGCCGGTCTAAAACCACTTTTGGACGCCATGGACGTTTCTCAGTTTCCAGGCAGAAAGAACAGTAAAAATGCAGGCAGGGCACAGGACAAAGCAAAGCACTACAAAATGTATGTGAAAACAGTAATGTTTTACTATGTGATTTTAGTGAATGTCACTTTTTGACATTTTCATAATTCCCGCCGGTTACGTCCCCCGTACGTCCCGACGTCGCAGCGAACGGAACCCAGAAGACAGATGCCGGCATCGGCCGGAGGAGATGGCAGGGGACACTGCAAGGGGGACATCACGGGAGCGCAGGACAAGGTAAGTGAAGAAGGGATCCCGGAGCAACGCTGCAAGGTATTCCCGAGTGTAGCTCGGGGTTACCGCTTGTGGTGCTGAAACTTTACCCCGAGCTACACTCGGGAATACCGCCAGGGAGGTTAATAACAATTGAAAGGGGTGAGAGGTCTAAGAAAAGGCTGGAGCACACACCAATGCAAGATACCTATCTCTATCCCCTTATCTAGATAGAAAAAATTAGACAATTGGGCCGCCAAATAGTTTTGACTGATCTTTTACCTTTTATCTTAATCTATATTTCATCTAGATATGCCATGTGGCAACTGCTTGCCTGCTCAATTTCATGCTGTTTTGAGATAACATTGTTGTAATTGTTTCCATGTATTTCAATTAAAGCAATAACAAGCAAGAACACTGGAATGTGTTTAGAGTAGCATATACTGTTCCATTTTCTGCCATTATTGACAGGTAGGCAGATGTCATACTTAAAAAATGATACTATGGTTATGTTTTCTGGCAGATTTTGGTGATATTTCGCAATCCAAAGGATACAGCTGTATCAATGTTTCACTTCTACAATAATAATCCAGAGATCCCCAACTACAACAGCTTTGATGATTTTTTCCCAGATTTCATGAGTGGAAAAGGTAAGAGGTGTGCTAAGAATTCAGAACATACTGCATTCTGTTTTACTATACAACAGGAATAATTTGCCATGAGAACATTTAAGAAAGAATAATAATCTATTTTTTTTTAAATGAACACAGAATACCCATTCTTGCATCATCCCATAAGTACTATTTACTGCTTTTCTGGTAATTCATCTAGAAATAACATACTCCTGTGCTTTTCTTAACCACTTAAATAATACTGACTCAGGGCTAGCTCACACTAGATGCAGTCCAATGCATTTTTTTTGTGTATCAAAAATGCACGCACAGTCTTTTCCATGTATTCCAATGGCCCCAGTTCACACCAATGCAGTCAGTTCCCGATGCAGAAAAAAAAAGTAGAACATGCTGCATTTTTTCTGCACAGAACTATACTGGAACATAGCAAACTGTATCAAAACTGCACCTGAATGGAGTGTGGTGTGAACTGCAAGCAAAACTGTACCCGGAATGTATTCGGAGTGCGTTTTTGTGGCATGAACTGGACCTTAAACAGTTTAAAATATTATGTTGCTAAAATTTAGTAAATGTACATGAGCACATTAAGTGCTTTGTTGCCCAATTAAAAATACATTACATTTAGTAAGCATTATGCCTTTAAGAAATAATACAAATTGAAAGCAACATTTTGTTTGAGTCTGTTTGAGCCTCTCTTTTTTTTTTTTTTTTTCTTCATCTCTTCTAACATTCTGCTGAAACTTTGTGATTTGTACAGTACTGCTTGGACTTTGAAGAAGGGGACATACCTCCAAAGCTTGTCCTCAAAATTGTATGTTAGTGCAAATAAAAAAAGTATCACGGACAGTACTCAATTGTTTGAGTCTGTAAAAACATATCTGTTATATCTGATTACAATCCAATCTCACCATCTTCCACCTCCCACTACCCAGACCCTCTTCCACTATTACTCTGGAAACTGGTCTCACTGCCTTCATCCCCCTACCTCCCAACCCCTTCAACTCACTGCTTCCTCTCTCCACAATTTTTTTTTTTCAATAAAGATTTATTGAGAATCGAAAAACATAAACATAAACAAAAACATGTGTTGTATCGATACAACAGTTTGCTAGAAGAATCTAGCCTTATAACGAGAGTAAGTCAGACAAAAAGAAAAAAAGAAAACTTGGCATGGAAGTTGAACACAGAAGAATGAGGGGGCAGACCCCAAACAACAACTTAAAGAACTAAGAAGAGGATGTGAATCTAGAAGGACAAAAATTAAAGAGGTTTTGAGTAACTATGGTCATAAGAACCTATTGTCAATATTGTGCATAGTTTCATGATAGACCAGAACATGGAATCATTGACATTAGAGAACATTTTTGAGAACGGTGGATGTGGAGAAATTACACTGAGGTACGTTGATTGATAATGTGATTCAAGGTTAGGTATGAAAATGTTAAGTTTAGCATGCCGGAAGCACCATTCCTGCAAAAGAAAAGGAAAAGAGAGAGAAAAGAAAGAAAAGAAAGAAAAAAAAGAAGGGGGGGGCGGGAGAGAGAGAGGAGGGAAGGGTAGGGAAGGAGGGAAGAGTAGGGAAGGCAGGAGGGGGGGGGGGAGATAAGTGCTAAGAAACATAACTTAAGTTATCGAGGAAGGATGACAGAGGGGGGTAGCATGTGTCTCTCGCCCTCTCCACCGGATGCCAAAGCATCACACCCCCCCCCCCCTCCCCCTCCACACCATAGAAGGCCGTAAGGCGAAGGGGAAGGAGCGCAACCAGATAGGATCCCAACGTTCAATCCATTCCTCAGAGAAGAGTAGCCTGGAGAGAATCCACTCCTTAACTATTTATTAATACAGATACTTATATAGCACCATCAATTTACACAGCGTTTTACATAAAGGTGAAACTCACAAAATTAGAATATCGTGCAAAAGTTCATTTATTTCAGTAATGCAACTTAAAAGGTGAAACGAATATATGAGATAGACTCATTACATGCAAAGCAAGATAGTTCAAGCCGTGATTTGTCATAATTGTGATGATTATGGCTTACAGCTCATGAAAACCCCAAATCCACAATCTCAGAAAATTTTAATATTACATGCAATCAATAAAACAAGGATTGTACATAGAACAATATCGGACCTCTGAAAAGTATAAGCATGCATATGTACTCAGTACTTGGTTTGGGCCCCTTTTGCAGCAATTACTGCCTCAATGCGGCGTGGCATGGAAGCTATCAGCCTGTGGCACTGCTGGAAGACCAGGATGCTTTAATAGCGGCCTTCAGCTCTTCTGCATTGTTCGGTCTCATGTCTCTCATCTTTCTCTTGGCAATGCCCCATAGATTCTCTATGGGGTTCAAGTCAGGCGAGTTTTCTGGCCAATCAAGCACAGTAATCCCACGATCATTGAACCAGGTTTTGGTGCTTTTGGCAGTGTGGGCAGGTGGGCATGCCAAGTCCTGCTGGAAAATGAAGTCAGCCTCCCCATAAAGCTTGTCTGCGGAAGGAAGCATGAAGTGCTCCAAAATCTCCTGGTAGACGGCTGCGTTGACCCTGGACTTAATGAAGCACAGTGGACCAACACCAGCAGATGACATGGCTCCCCAAATCAACACGGATTGTGGAAACTTCACACTGGACTTCAAGCATCTTGCAGTGTGTGCCTCTCCATTCTTCCTCCATACTGGGTCCTTGATTTTTAAATGAGATGCAAAAGTTGATCTCATCAGAAAAGAGGACTTTGGACCACTGAGCAACAGACCAGGTCTGTTTTTTCTTTAGCCCAGGTAAGACGCTTCTGACGTTGTTTGTTGTTCAGGAGCGGCTTGACAAGAGGAATACAACATTTGAAGCCCATGTCCAGGATCCAACTGTGTGTGGTAGCTCTTGATACACTGACTCCAGCCTCAGTCCACTCCTTGTGAAAGTCCCCAACACTTTTGAATGGCCTTTTCCTGACAATCCTCTCCAGGCTGCGGTCATCCCTGCTGCTTGTGCACCTTTTTCTTCCACACTTTTCCCTTCCACATAACTTTCTATTAATGTGCTTTGATGCAGCACTTTGGGAACATCCAACTTCTTTTGCAATTACCTTTTGAGGCTTTCCCTCCTTATGGAGGGTGTCAATGATGGTTTTCTGCACAACTGTCAGGTCAGCAGTCTTTCCCATGATTGTGATTCCTACTGAACCAGACTGAGAGACCATTTAAAGGCTCAGGAACCCTTTGCAGGTGTTATGGCTTAATTAGCTGATTAGAGTGGGACACTTTGAGCCTAGAATATTGCACCTTTTCACAATATTCTAATTTTCTGAGATTGTGGATTTGGGGTTTTCATGAGCTGTAAGCCATAATCATCACAATTATGACAAATCACGGCTTGAACTATCTTGCTTTGCATGTATTGAGTCTATCTCATATATTAATTTTACCTTTTAAGTTGCATTGCTGAAATAAATTAACTTTTACACGATATTCTAATTTTTTGAGTTTCACTTGTATGGGCACTGATGAGGCACAACTGATGGGGCAGCATTGATGAGGCTACACTGATAGGCGACACTGATGGGCACCCATAGGCTGCCCTGATGGGCACTGACAGGCTGCACTGATGGGCACTCTTAGCTTGAACTGACAGATGCTGACAGGCTGCACTGATAGGCACTGATGAGGCTGCACTGATCATCAGGGCACTGATGATCAGTGCCCTGATTATCAGTGTAAATGTCCCCTGTGTGAATTGCCGGTTATTGGTTCTCCTCTCCTCACTCAGTGACAGCGTGTGAAGAAAGGACTGACGAGACTGGCAAGTATGTTTACAATGTGATCCGCTGTGATTTGACACAGCGGATCACATGGTAATGGGCCACTGTGATTGGCCCTTTACTGCGATCTGTGATCAGCTATGTCCAAAAGACACGGAGGGCACAGAGCATGCCCAATGCATGTCCCTTCAATAGACGCTCTCCCAAAACTAGCTGACCGCACTGTAGCCATCTTTCAGGTATATTGCAGTTGGCATGTGGTTAAACTGACTAAAGTGACTTTTCTCTCTCTCTTCTCCACAGTCTCCAGTCTTATTGCATCTCTTCTCCACCTCCTGTTGACTGTTTCCCCTCCTTCACAATTCAGTCCTGCTGCCTCTTCCCCCCCCTTCCAATTTAAGTTTCCTGTCTGCCTTCTTTTCCATTACCACTCTCCCTGCCCCTTCTACGCCACACCATACAGTTTTACTTTCTGATTTTTTGCAACCCCCCCGCAACACTCCACCCCATGTGCCCTCATATGCACACACCACTATCCAGCCTCACTGCCTCCAATGTCTTCCTCTTAGCTGCAACTTTTTTTCAGGCAGAGGTATCCAATCAAAGCCTTTGTCTTTGCAGATTTGCTCCAATGTCATGAACAACAGAAGAGCTGGAAGTCAAATACTGAACACTAAGAATTTCAGGGATCCTATGCTTGGACAGAGATATAATGGCAGCCTCAAGGACGACCAGTGGGCCTGATGTCCATTTTAGAAATTACAGAAAATCCTTCTTTGTCTCTTTTCTGTGCAGGGTGCTCCCCTAAGGCCTGGTTCACAATGTGTTTTTCAGTGGGACACGTTCACATCTATGCTTTTTTGAGCTGCTGCATTTTTGGAAAGGGCAGGGACTTTTTAAAATGTGAATAGCAGTGTTTTTTCTACAATAGCATTTTAGAGGCATATTTTACTTTGGAGAGTCTAACACTTTTTACCATGGCATAACTGACAAATGTGGGAAATGTGTTATACTCATTTCTACAAAAATGCTGAATCATAAGGATTCTTTTAGATGATGACATACTATTTTATTTGAGTGAGTCCATGTTATTTTAATTGCAGCAGTTACAGTATCTTGTGCTTGTATATTACTACAATTTATCCTTTACCCTTTTCAGTTCGAAAATAAACCACACCCTTGAAGACCATAGCAACCTTTGACCAAGATCATCAATCATTCAAATGGCACAACACATTTTGTGTGGTACCTTCTTTAGCTCACAGTCCTCACTGTCCAGACCATGAAAGGTTGTGTTGCCTATGTTTTTCTTTCCAGGCCAAAAAGTTCCTGGTTCTCTCTTGCATCAACAATTATCCTGTAGAATGTTTTAACCTGTCTCAGCCCAAACTATCTCTACTGTGGGTGAAAAAATACACCATAACAACCAAGGATACTGTGCAGTCCAGCCACCTGCTTCCTAACAACCAAACTCATTAACCGAGCATCTATTTCAATACAGATTCATTAGAGAGGCTAATACATGTATTTAGACATGATTGTACTGTAATGCATGTTTTTGGCGGTGCTGTGCGCCACTCAGTGTAAAAAGGGTTTCCAATCACCCAGGATTCTCATTCAGGAAGGTTTAGAGGTTTTCAGGTTGCTTGCGTCCTTCAGAGACATGGTTTTTTTCAGTTTTCTGAGTGGTTAGTAAGGACCAGTTTGGGACCTGGAGTCTGAGGATTTGTCGTGACTTGGGTGGGATGAAATCCCCTGGGTTCTGGTTTTAGGAATCACCAAAACACCAAATTGGCAGATTTGTGCTGGGCTTTTAGAAGAATCATAACTATGGTTCTGGGCTTCACCCTGGCAGACAGAGGAGGTCTATTCCCAGGAGTCAGGAGGAGTCCACCTAGGAGAAAGGTGGAAGCTAGAGCAGCAAGAAGCTGCTAGTCATATGGACCAAGCTTGTTGTTAGAGCAGGAGACAGACAAGGGCTGAAGGGTAAGGCCAGAGCAGCAGTACTGCATGTGTAAGCCAGGAAGCTGAATTGGTATATCTTTGGATGGAAGAAAAATGCTGGAAAACCCCTGTTAGGAAACCCATGCATTGATTTTGTTTTGTTGAGCTTTTAATAAAATTGGGCAAGAACCTTAAAAAGAAAATTAAGCAAGTGGCTATGTCCTCTGCCATTTGAAGCCAGTTCTCACACTATATAATTTTTAATGTTCATCTAGCACTACCCCCTCTGGAGTTGCAAGAGCATTGGGTCCCCCTATAGTCCTGCACAGCCAGGCATCACACATTTTCTGTTCATACTTGCATCAGGAGACCCAAAACCAGTCCTTGAGATTTGTTTTGAAGTTTTATTAGAGATGTAGAACTTGGATGGGGTAAGAGGTGTATGGGATGCCCAGGGAACTGGCAACTGAGGACAAACTTCCTGAACTATATTACAAGTTAGAACTTTTCTTCTAGGAGAGCTCTCCAGCCTCTCCTGGTGTACTATCCCAGACCCCAGATAAATCCTCTTCTTTACCCAGCTGTCTGGAGTAATCCCTGAGCAAGGGAGTCCAAAGCTACTACTTAAAATGTAACAGTCCCAGGTGTAGAGCTAGTCATGTTTCCTGCCCAAAATGCTCTTTCCCCTTTCTAGCCCAGCAGTTGTAAGAGTCCTTCTCCTGTGCTGCTGTTGGATAGGTGGCTGCTACCAGGCCTATCAGCTGGGATGCTCCTTCCCTGCTGCAAGGTGATCCTCTCTCAGGGGGCCAGTGGAGTCCACAGCTTTCTTCTTCCTTTAAAGTCCCTCTGCCTGGAGATGAGCCCCTTCCAGCTTGGGCACCCTCCCTGGCTCCTGCATCTCAGCCATACTTCTCCATCTTCCTCTCCTCCAACCCAACTCCCTCCTGCAACTGAGCATGCTTTACCACTTTTAAGGGTTTCCCAGCCCCCTTGCCAAGCCTTCTGTTGGGGATTGGCTGGGGTCCCTCAACAGTGAAGCCAGCCACTCCTCAGATCCACCCATTGCCTCTAGAGCCTTCCTCCAATGCTCCAGAGCAGGGGGAAATTCCAGAGGGGCTGGCCTGCTGAGCCTCTCAGCCCTGACCACAATTTGACCCCACTCTGGCTATTACACTTGGGCTGCTGCTCAGCCCCTCTCTAACCATTGGAGTCTAGCTCCCCCCTAGCTACCTAGGAGGGCACTACATTCATAATAGTTCTTCTTTGCTGTTCTCATGGCAAGGGACATGTTACATTTGGGCCTAAAAAGTTGTATTGAAGGAGTCAAAAATGATTGCTTGCTTTTATTCATTTTAGTGGCCTGGGGTTCTTACTTTGACCATGCTATTGTTTGGAATAAACATCTCAACAAAGACTCAGTTTTGTTGATGACTTTTGAAGATATGAAAGAGGTAGGTGAACATCTTGTAATAGCTTAGCCGTTACAGAGACTTTAAATGAAATGATCAGCACTGCTTTAAAATGTACCTATAGCAAAAAAAATTATCTCTAGAGGGCAACCAATAATATAAAAATTGAATGGCAGATTACACTGTTTTTATTCAGCTAGAAGTTTGTTTTTGACTGCAATTTTTTTATAGTAAGTTAATTGCCAAAGATTAATATGGGATGTGCAGCGACCCCCCTCCCCCATTCGGTCTGAATTCCTGTAAGAGGACAATACTAAGTTCAACTCATGTACTTATACTGCTTGCGTTTTAAAAATGCATTTATTAATGTACTAATAAATGCAAAGATTATTATGGAATGTATCTAAATAATAAACATCAGGCTACTATAGCCTACTGTATACCCACTGGCAGTTTATCAGGTTTTATGATAGACAGCTCTGGTGTCTAACAGGGAAGTAGACGCCATTAATACATTCCATCCATAAGTGATTATTTACTAGAAATACTTTATGTTTCAAGGAATACCTAAACCAATATTTATTGTGTTTATTCTAAGGATCCAATTATTTCTGTTTTGTGCCAAAACTTTAATTTATATAAAAACTGTGCGATTGATGGGTTTCTTGTCTTTTGGAATCCTGTAGTTTGTGTGTTTCATGCAACATCTGTGTTGTGTGGTAACCAAATGGGTCTTTGAGTTCTCAAGCAACAGAGATAATCACGTTTATTCACAATAGGAGTTTGGAGTCTTTACTCAAATTTTGTGAATATGCCCTTCGTTTTTCCAATCATATGAAAGATGAAATAAGTAAAAGAGAATTAGCTTTACACATTAGTAGATAACGTACATCAATATTCACACAACTTATTAAGTGGACATTCCTAAGTCCTTTAGTAAATCAGCCCAATTAAAAATAGAACTCTGTGACTCATATTTGTAACCTATATTTGTAAAATTATATTATTGGCATTACCATATATCTTCACTATTGCTATTCATGCTTCATTCATTCATGCTATTCATACAGGATCTGGAGGGATCAATTAAGAAGATTTCAGAATTTTTTTCTTTACCCCTCACTGAAGAGCAAGTTAAAATCATTGCTGATAAAGGAACATTTAAGTCTATGAAGGAAAACTCCAAAAACACACACGGTGAAATGGGCAAAGTTATATTCAGAAAAGGTAAGAAAATGGTATACAATGTATCATATTTTATACCAAGTGTAATTTTATATTTAAATGACAATAGTTATAAGTACAAATAGAGTGGTAGTTCTCCCCATTGAGGACACAGACAGCAATAAAACCTTGATAGCGAGTGTAACCCTAGACTTTAAAAACTACTGTACTGCCTGTGCTTTCTGCCTGGCACACGTTAGCTTATCACCTTTGCATTTAAAAACATCTGCATTGCCTAACCAAATTCTTTCATATAATGCATTATAATTTTCTACACATAAACCACTGACAATGAAATCTGCAGGGATGAAAAAAAAAATCTGCTCTTGCTGGGGGAAAAAAAGCAAACCTCCTCCAGGTATGCAATGTACGTTGCAAAAGTTTTAGTGGACTTCATTGTAGAGTGTTACCTACTGCTTTTCTGCTGAAAATGACCAAGGTATTCTTGTCATTTTCTTCCATGTCAGGTTCTGAGTTCTTTGAGTGCTACATGAGAGGGTACCTAGTGTAATCACATGAACAATACTGAGTTGTAGAGGTCCAGACAGACCTAAAAGGGCAGAATGATTTTGAACATCTAAACCAGCGGTCTCCAAACTGCGACCCAGGGGCCAGATGTGGCCCTTTGTTTGCTCTTATCCGGCCCTTGGGGCACCATTCTTACCACTGACACAAGGCACTCTTCCTCCCACGGAGACCAACACTAGGGGAATATTTCTGTCTCTGAAACAAACAATGGGGCGTTATTCCTACCACTGACCCCAACAATGGGGCACTATTCCTCCCACTGACACCAATGATGAGGCACTATTCATCACACTGACACCAATAGCAGGGTGCTATTTTTACCATGGACATCAATGATATCTCAAGATTCTTTCCCCTGATACTAACAATGGGGCAATATTCCTCCCACTAATACCAATGATGGGAAATTGTTTATTCCCATTGACGCCAGGGCATTGTCTACCCACACTGGGCACAGGCAGCCCCCTCAAATTCTGAAGGACAGTAATCTTGCCCTTTGTTTAGAAAGTTTGGAGACCCCTGACCTAAACCAAACACATTAAACATCATAAATAATACACTAGGACACAAATTACAACTGTATTTCCGTTGGAGTGTTATAGTAACAGCTTATATTAAAGCAGATCGTTACCCATAAATCGAAAGTGCCTCCTGTCCACCCCTCCTCCACTCTGCTACCTGTATAGCATCTTTTTTTTTTTTTCAGAAAAGGGGTTTGGTCCTGCCTCCAACACACATTATTCGCTTAGGCTAATGACATGAACTGTGCCCACTGTGCCATCACATCACTGTACATCACATATCCCAGGAAGCCTTACTGTTTCATTCACAGAGGAAGAGAGGGCAGGTCAAGTGGCGTATTATTGGCAGGCCCGTCTGCTGAACCCAGAAGAGCTGGTAGGCCACGCAATGATGTCAGAAAAAACACGGTGGTGAGGGACAGAATGGCGACAGGGTATAAGAGGATTTCAGTAGGACAAAGCTGGATGCGCTGGATGGCTCAGTATCTGAAACAAGTAGATCTCATGTTCCAGTAAATAGGGGTAAAAGAAAAAAAAGACAGGGGGTTTAAATAACAAGATAATAACAATAACATAGTTTAGCCACTTGCCCTCCAGAGGATTTACCCCCCTTCCTGACCAGGCCATTTTTTGCTTTACTGCATTGCGTTATTTTAACTGACACAGTCATGCAACGCTGTACCCAAATTAAATTTACGTCCTTTTTTCCCCACGAATAGAGCTTTCTTTTGGTGGTATTTGATCGCCTGTGCATTTATTTTTTGCGCTATAAAAAAAAAGTTTGAACATTTTGAGAAAAAAAAAATATTTTTGACTTTTTGCTATTAAACATATCCAGTAAAAAAAATTAAAAAATCTAATTTCATCATAAGTTTAGACCAAAATGTATTTTCCTACATGGCTTTGCTAAAAAAAAACCCAATACGTGTAAATTAATTGGTTTACATGAAATTTATAGTGTTTACAAATGGCAGTATATATACTGGGATTTTTTTTTTATTTGTATTTTTACTAGTAATGGCAGCGATCAGCAACTTACAGTGGGACTGCAACGGGCAGTCTGACACTGGGGGGAAATGACTTAGTGTCACTGACATCCCCAGTGACACCAATACAGTGAGCAGTGCTAATAAAAAGCACTGATACTGTACTAATGGCACTGGGCAGGAAAGGGTTAACATATGGGGTGATCAAAGGGCTAACTGTGTGCTGTTTTACACTGTGTCCTGTATTAGTGCTTTACTGTAAACACACTGATTTGCATGGCTATGCTATGCACAGCCATGCAAGCAGTGTGCAGGAGCTGACAGTGGAGAGAACTGCAATGTTTACAAACAGTTCTCCCTCCTGTTTGAGATGTTCAGCAATCACCGAGGGCGCCAGCAAGTAATCACCAGCCGGGACCCGGTGATTGACAGCCGAGGCCGCGAATGGTGGCACAGTCAGGGCAGGCGCACCTCGTGTGCGCCCCCTACCCGGAAATGCAAAATCACGTATATATACGTGATTTTGCGCACACTCGTGCCGCCCTGTAGCAGTACTTCTGCTATAGGGCGGACTGGAAGTGGTTAGACACTAATTCTTCAAAACATACATGAATTATAATACAACCATTAAAGCCAGGTCCTTGATAGTGCCACCAATGTCATGCTCTGTTGTAAACCTGTACTGGTCACCAGAAATTTGAAACCAGCTTGGTGGGTACATATTAGTCATTTTACACCATTGTTCACCTGGAATATTTGTAAATATTTGAGTTAAATCACTCGTCGAAACATTACCAATGTACTTAGTTTTTTAGAACCATGAAGGACCTGCCAATGCTGTGACAATACTACAACATGCCCTACAAGTTCCCCATCCTCTTCCCATATGTCATTTATACATGTACGATTTGTTTCATTACAAATAGAAATTCAGATGAAAATGTTTGTTATTTGCAGATTTGGATGTATCCGAATTTCATATCACAATCACAATAGTAACAAATTTCAACTAATCCGAAATAAATTATAATAAAAAATTGAGGAAGGAAGGGAGGGGTGGGTGGAAGGAAGGGAGTGGTGGAAGCAAGGAAGGAAGGGAGGGTTGGGTGGAAGGTAGGTTGGACTCACATGACCCATTCAGATGTATCAGAGCTGTCCGTTGCTGTGTTCAGTTTCCGCCCACACATCCTCTGAAGCTGCATGGACTGGAGTGTGGGCAGGCACAGGGGGAGGCAGAGCAGATCCAGCCTCTTTTTCCTCTTCTCCTATTGGTGTGGAGGATGGATGGAGGGGCTGGGCATTAAGAAGAACACAGTGGTGGTGGGAGGGAAAGGGGGCAGGGGGTAGAAAGAAAACTGAGCAGTCAGGTATGTTCTTTGCAGAGGTGGAGGCAGTGACAAGCAGCGATCTCCTGTATAGCTTTCAATAAAGCAGCTGAAAGTCGCATCTCCTCCTCTCCCTCCCGTGGCTTCCAGCTGCTTTATTGAAAGCCATACAGGAGATTGTTGCTTGCCACTGCCTCCACCGCCACCCCTCCTACACACCCCTAGTCCCGGCACTGCTCGCCGCCCCCACCTCATTTCCACTCGCGGGCGAGTGGAAATTTCAAGGGCTGCAGGGATGGTTGGCAACTCTCCTCTGGGGGGGGGTTCAGACCCCCCTGAGTTCTCCCTTATCTATGCCCCTGCTGCAAGGGGCAGGGCGCACACTGTGATGTCATGTTGCCGTTATAACTGCCCTGCTCAGCAGTGAATCTGTCATTGCGGGCTGGCAGTCTGGAAGGGAGCGCTGCTGGGGCCGTTCTTGGACCACGGTCCACCATTTAGGAACCGCTGCCCTAAGATGACCTCGTTGCTCCCTACATCATATCCTTAACCTCGTTGTAAACCTCTGACATGAAATATGAACAAAGCATATCCTTCTATAGTGTGTAATCGTCTCAGTCCTACTGTCTTTTTCCTCTCCTATCTGCATAAGTCATTACTCACAAGTTTTCTTGACACCAAAAGGTAAAAAGGTGACAGAAGAGGGAGCTCCAGTACACAGCCTGTGATTGACAGCCTCAGCTCTGTTCTTGTGTGTGATGGGGAGTTTTGCCCATCCCTCTAATCAGCTCTCAATGAACCCTGCAGAGTGTAACTTCAGGTCCCTGCCCTTGCTTTTCAGAGCTGCAATCCCTGTGTAAATTCTGGACTTTGAACGGATGTACATGACAAATGGCTGCAGATAAACAAGTACAATTTATGTAGGTGGATTTGTTTAATCTCTGTATACCACCTGAGGCCAGTCACTTCATTGGGTATATGTACGAATTTACAGCCACTTTTAGCTATTCCACACCCATTCATAATTATTTTTTCCTGCCTTCCAGATCACCCTGTCATGTGCCCTTTCTCCTATGTGCTCAGGGCAGTTCTAAAATAAAAACCATTGGGGAGAGCAGTACGCTAGTGATGTTGACAGATTTCTAGGGCATCTTTTAAATTTTACAGAACTTAAACTATTTATCATACCTCTTTTTAGTTGCAGAGGTGCTCCTGTATCCCTCAAGGGTCCCTTGAATGAAGATGTGCAGCATATATGGCTCACATACAATCAAATGTATTTATTTTATTTATTTCAGGTACTTGTATAGCGCTGTCAATTTACGCAGCGCTTTAAGTATATATATATTGTACATTCACATCAGTCCCCTAACCCTCAAGGGGCATACAATTTAAGGTCCCTAACTTGTATTCATACATGCACATACTAGGGCCAATTTAGACAGGAGCCAATTAACCTACCAGCATATCTTTGGAGCATGGGAGGAAACCGGAGTACCTAGAGGAAACTCACACAGGCACAGGGAGAACATGCAAACTCCAAGCAGGTGGTGCCGTGGCTGGGATTCGAACTAACGACCCTAGTACTGCCAGGTGGAAGTGGAATTTAATACACCTTTTTATCTGTTGCTGAGGCATGACATTGCATTGTGGCATTTGGGGGGATATTATTAACATAAGTCTAATTACACTGTAGTTTTTCCATGTGGTAGACCAAAGGTTTAGGAAGAACCACAGAAAATTCATAAGCAGTATTATAATAAATAATTTACTGTACATGTAGGCACCTTGTGGTTCTTGCTATTAGGCATATATCTTGCTCATATAATTTTAGGATCGTAACAGGTTCCCTTTAAAACCGGCAAACAACTTCTGTTTAAATGATTAGAGATTTTTTATGGTGTATAAAAAAATCAGTAGGATAATAAATACCTAAATATACTGTACTTATTTAATGCATTATTATAGATACAGTATTCTTTTCATGTACTGTATATGCTCAATGAAACTTTACATAAACAAAATGAATTTTTTCTTTACTATATGACAGTTACAACTCAATAACTTGCTGCATTACTGCTGACATAATGTAAAGATATGTACAGTATTATTATTATTATTATTATTATACTGGATTTATATAGCGCCAACAGTTTGCGCAGCACTTTACAATATAAGGGAGACAGTACAATTACAATACATTTCAGTACACAAGGAATGTGAGGGCCCTGCTCGTGGAGCTTACAACCTAAAGGATGTGAATTATCTTTATTAATTTATATGTAAGCTGTAAAAAATCAACATCTTTTATTTACTAGTGAAACGTGCCATTGAAAGCATTGTTATTAATGTCCGAAATGTGCAAATAAATATATGTTGATCCTGCCTACAGTGTACTCTTGTGTTATTTGCAATTGAAAGTCCTACCTTTCTGCTCAGGTTACCTCTTTAAATAAAAGAACACTTCCACCTTATGTTATGGGGGTGAGCGGCAGGTGTTCATTGGTTCTACAACACATCCTTTTCCTAGGGCAGTGGTTGGCAAGCCGCGGCTCGCGAGCCACATGCGGCTCTTTACAAACTTAAAAGCGGCTCTTCTGTGTGCCAGGCGCCCGCTCCCCTCCCTCCTCTCGGGCGCCGCCCCCCCTCCCCTCCCTCCTCTCGGGCGGCCGCCCCAAAAGTCAGGACTCTGCAGCTGTCAGGATGTAGGCGGGGCAGCCAGGATGTAGGCGGGGCAGCGTGACGAACTCCTCTCCTCTCACAGTCCGCCCTGAAGACCAGAACGGCGCGGGAACACGGCGAGAGGAACGCGCGGAGCAAAGGTAAGTGAATTGACACAGGGGGGGGGACTTACTATATGGGGGATGAATTACTATAGGGGGGATGAATTACTATAGGGGGGATGAATTACTATGGGGAATGAATTACTATATGGGGGATGAATTACTATGGGGGATGAATTACTATGGGGGGGATGAATTACTATAGGGGGGATGAATTACTATGGGGGATGAATTACTATATGGGGGATGAATTACTATGGGGAATGAATTACTATGGGGGATGAATTACTATATGGGGGATGAATTACTATGGGGGATGAATTACTATGGGGGATGAATTACTATGGGGGATGAATTACTATATGGGGGGATGAATTACTATGGGGGATGAATTACTATATGGGGGATGAATTACTATGGGGGATGAATTACTATATGGGGGATGAATTACTATGGGGGATGAATTACTATATGGGGGATGAATTACTATATGGGGGATGAATTACTATGGGGGATGAATTACTATATGGGGGATGAATTACTATATGGGGGGGATGAATTACTATGGGGGATGAATTACTATATGGGGGATGAATTACTATAGGGGGGATGAATTACTATGGGGGATGAATTACTATATGGGGGATGAATTACTATATGGGGGATGAATTACTATATGGGGGATGAATTACTATGGGGGATGAATTACTATATGGGGGATGAATTACTATATGGGGGATGAATTACTATGGGGGATGAATTACTATGGGGGATGAATTACTATATGGGAGATGTATTTTCAGTTTTAAAAATGTGGCTCTCAAAATAAATTTCAATCGTGGTTTTGACGAGATTTGGCTCAGTTGAAAAAAAAGGTTGCCCACTACTGTCCTAGGGTAACAATGCTGCTCCTCCATAGATACAATACAGCAGGAGAGGGTTGTAAACCCTAAGAGAGGATGTGTGGCGGGATCACTAGGTGAAAATAAAAGGACAAAAAGACAGAAAAAATAAAACGAAATACAGCCACCAAATCCAAAGACTGGTCAGCTGAAGTGTATTCTATTTTTGTACATTATTGGGGTCTTGTAAGATGTATAGATCACGTTTTTCAACTCATATCTTTTTTTTCCCTTATAATTAACAGGCATTCCAATACAGGATCTATTACTAAATTATAAAAAAAAAAATTCACCCATGCCAATGTAGCGTAGTGTTATATTTCATTTTTTTTTTCCAGGGGATGTTGGAGACTGGAAAAACTACTTTTCAGAAGCTCAAAGTCAAGACATGGATGCGAAGTTTGAAGAATGCCTTGCAGGAACAAAGCTTGGAGAAGTCTTGAAGTACAATATTTATTGTAAATGGTGAAAAGGCATAACTATGTTATATTATTTGTTTTATAGATATACTGTATGATCTGTATGTGCACAAAATCAATAAAGGTGATGTAATTTTTAAACTGGGCAGGAAATGGTATTCTTCCAGTAACAAACATAACTAAACATGAATAAAGCAATACACACAAAAATAATTCACTATTGACTCGAAAGTTGTAATCACCTTAACATTCCTTTTCATGTCAAAGCTTCCTTGGTTACTAGCCAACCAACGAGTTGCACTGACTGTGGGCTCTTTTTGAGAGCAAGAGGTGGATTTATATAGGAACCTTAACACTTTGAGTTTCCTCAACAGATGGATGGGCTTTCCCTTCAATGGTTGCATACTCTTTTCACCTCTATGGAAAAATAAAGCTGTTATTCAGATAACTGAGCACGGGAATAGACATTTGCATTTTCACCAGAAATTAGAGCACAGTCTGGATAATTGTAGTCGGTATCAATAAGTGATTATTAAGACTATCATTTTCTGATTATTAGCAATTTTTCAGTAATAATATAGCACCACCATATCACATAGCCCTTCCTCACAGAATTATTATATACCTATCCCAAAATAAGTGATGCTCTAAAGTCTTCATCCCACTCATATGATCACATGCACACTTGGACCAATTTGAAAAGACCCCTGTTAGCCTACCTGTATATTTTTGGTTTGTGGGCAGAAAATACTTGAGAGACCTGGAAGAGCCAGGTGTCCTTCAGCAATGAGGAAGAGGAAGTACACTAATCTAAAGGAAAGAGCGGTAATCAGCAATCTTGTTTATTATAATCTCAGCTAAAAGTGGCCATTGACTTCCAAAAATAATCAAAAGTATGTACACAATCTGAGCAATCTCAGGAAATTTTTCAGTGTGGCGCCAACATAAACATTACTTTGACTTAGTCAATTGTTTGTGTTTAAATGAATGGTGGAAGGGGGTGGGCTTGTTAGCAGAACTGAAGGTGTGTAGAATGTTTGCAGGGCCAGCTGGATAAGTGTGAACTACATGTCCAGCATGCAAAGGAGTTAATCCAATGACCAGGGGTTGTTTTGTTTTTAGAAACTACAAAAAAAGTTCAGGTGAGCCATGGCCAAACTGTCCATCAGTTGTCTTCATTCTGGCCTGCTTCATTAAGAAATTACTCATGACAATTTGCAAGCGGCACCCATGTCTACTATTGGATTGGGGTGTTGCCACTTCTGAAAGCTCTAGTCATAGAACGAAGATGCACTGGAAGCTGAAAAGGTTTATCCTTGCAACTGGAAGGTCAATTTAGCTGAATATAGTCTCATAATGTTTTAATGTGGATTTACTCTGGAAGCCTCCAACATTTCCTGCATTTTGTGTTGTAGTACATGACTAGGGTACAACAGATGACACCAATCTCTCACAAACAATACCCCTTATTCCTTTAATACCCCTCTTATCTTATCTGTGGTGAAAAAATGACCATAACGGCCCTTTATTAACAAATAACCAAAGTAACCTTCCTTTAAACAGAAACATATTGACAATAAGGATAAATAACCATGGCTGCCGATCTTAGAAGGCACCTAATGACTAAACTTTGTTTTTTTTTTGTGGAACCACTTAAAGGTCCCTAGCCCTAAGACACCGGCTCAGGGACAACCCAACTCTATGCCGATACTTCCATGGCCAAACCTTTAAGTTAACCCTCTGTTAACTTGAACTTCTCCAGAGCCCTAGTATGTGATAGACTGTTATTTAAACAGCCTTCAAAGATCCCAACAGCCTTGCCACAACAACATCCAAGCATCACCGCACCAAAGCTCAGGGAGGAAGAGAGGGAAGCAAATGTGTTTTCTTCCAACTGTGTGAGCTTTTCTCCAGCTCACCTAAATCCCCCTAAAATTCTTTCCCACCAGTCACGGTGAGTAGCATCATTTGACCTGTCTCCAGCAGCCCCCCACTATTCCAGATGTTAACTCTCTATATTCCTTGCCTCCCCTGTTAACCCAGTCATGGTCACTGGGGACAGACTGACCTTGTTTGATATAACTTCCACAATATGGCCACACCCACCGTTTGCTTATTACCCTTCTACTTGGTATGCTCAAAAGTGCCCCAAGTCTTTTTTCAAGCAATGGGGCCAAATTTATGATCTTGCACACAGGCCCTCTGATTTCATAAAATGCCCCTGCACCATATACTTTCCTACCATCTGCACTCCTCTCCCTGTACTAACTACCCACCGCCATACACTCCTTACTCTTCTCCCTGCACATACTACCCACTGCCATACACTCCATACCCCTCTCCCTGCACATGCTACCCTCTGCCATACACTCCGTACCCCTCTCCAACCACATACTACCCACCACCATATATTCCATACCTGCACATAGTACCTACCGCTATACACTCCACGCTCCTTTCCCTGGATGTATTACCCACCGCCATATACTCTGAATTCCTCTCCCTGCACATACTAACCACCACCATACACTCTGTACTCCTCTCCCTGCACATACCACTCACCACCATACACTCTATACCCTTCTCCCTGCACATATTACCCACCGCCATACACTTTACACTCCTGTCCCTGCACATACTGCCCCCGCCATACACTCTGTACCCCTCTCCCTGCATATACCACCCACCGCCATACACTTTACACGCCTGTCCCTGCACATACTGCCCCGTCATACACTCTGTACCCCTCTCCATGCACATACCACCCACCGCCATACACTCTATACCACTCTCCCTGCACATACTACCCACCGCCATACACTTTACACTCCTGCCCCTGCACATACTGCCACCCACCATACACTCTGCACTCCTCTCCTGCACATACTACCCAACGCCATACACTCTGCACTCCTCTCCTGCACATAGTATCCAACGCCATACATTCTGCACTCCTCTCCTGCGCATACTACCCACCACCGTACACTCCACACTGTACATTCCTTATTTAACATTACCACATTCTGCATGTAAGTTGCCAAGAATGGATTCTGCCTGCATGGACTTTACCAGCATGGACTTTCATCTCTATAAGGTATGCCTAGGCTATCAATCAGTGTAGCAAGGGTAAGGGACATGGACCTGTTCTTACTGATCTGTACTGCTAATACCCTTCAGTAAACGTTATGCTGTTTTGAGCTTGGTCTGAAGTTATTATCAGGGTACATGTTGGTTCTGGCGTATCCAAAAGAATCTGGGTCTGTAAAGGACTAGAGGGGTATGGAGTAACACTATGCAAACAAGGTTAACTCAGCAAGACAAGAAAATGTAATGTAATTGCTAAGAGTAACCAAGTGCAAGTTCAAAACACAAGGCAACCAGTCATAAGTGTGGTACCTGGATGAGGTGGGGTGTCTCCAGTAGCGAGGGGGTCTCTGCTTTGGCTCCCACCCTAGTGGTCCATCTCCCATAGCAACTGGGAGCAGCCCAGCATTACTGAGGTCCTCAGCCTAGCCACACAGTAAGGATGAGGACGAGTTAACACAGGACACACATTGGGAACCACGCTATGTGTCCAGCAGGATCACATTCTGTTACTGGGAGTGAGTTAACAGAGGTACACTGGCTGGTGGAGGTAGCGTGACTTGGCCAGACATTCCAAATGCAACAAGAAGAAGTCACAGCATGTAGACCTATAGGACATCATTAACAGAGGAACACCACTTTATCACCTAGATTGTAAGCTCGAAAGAGTAGGGCCCTCTTACCCCTCGTACGTTGTTTGTTGTTGTTGTGCTTTGCCATGTATTGTCCCCCCCCTCTATTGTACAGCGCTGAGCAAACCTTTGGCGCTATATAAACTCGTAGTAATAATAATAATAATAATATTACACACACAGTGAAAGCTCATCAGTCTGGAAACTGCCTTAATGTTGGATTTTCATATGACCGCAGTCCCCGCCTGGTTCCAGAAATTGATGAGCACACTCTGCGCATAACGGTACCCCATGTGCATTGGCGAAGGTAGGCTCCACCCACATACTTGCCCCCAGGGGAGTATCTACCATGAAGCCAACAAGGTGTTTGCCTTGGGCTACACTTTTCAGGGGGGCGGCGCTGCTCCCAGGCAAAAGGGACCAATGGTGCTCGGGTAGGAAGACGGTCATGGCAGTGCTCGGGCAGGGGGCTGGTTTCAGCAGTGCTTGGGTGGGAGGATAGGCTTGGCAGTGCTCGAGTGAGAGGGTGGGCTCGGCAGGGCTCTGCAGTGTTCAGGCAGGAAAGTGGGCTCTTCAGTGCTCATGGGGGGGGCATGCTTTACAGTGCTTGGGGGGGGGGCTTGGCAGGGCTCGGCTGACTATCTCTGACCTTATCCTGTCGGTAATCTCTGACCGTATCCTGTCAGCAGTGTCTGACTGTATCCTGTTGGCAGTCTCTGACCATATCCTGTCCGCAGTCTCAGACCACATCCTGTCTGCAGGCTCTGACCGTGTCCTACTCACTCTCTCTGACCATATCCTGTCTGTAGTCTCTGACCGTATCCTGTCCACAGTCTCTGACTGTATCCTGACCACCGTCTCTGACCATATTCTGACCGTATTCTGAATCGCAGTCTCTGATTGTATCCTGTCCGGGTCTCTGACCGCATCCAATCCACAGGCTCTGACCGTATCCTGTCCGCAGGCTCTGACCGTATCCTATCCGCATGTTCTGACCATATCCTGTCTGCAGTCTCTGACTGTATCCTGTCCTCAGGTTCCAACCATATCCTGTGTTCAGTCTCTGACTGTATCCTGTCCTCAGGCTCTAGTTGTATCCTGTGTGCAGTCTCTGACCGTATCCTGTCCATAGGTTCTGACCGTCTTCTGTATCCTGTCCGCAATCTCTGACCGTATCCTGTCTGCAGTCTCTGACTGTATCCTGTCCACAGGCTCTAACCGTACCCTGTGTGAAGTCTCTGACCATATCCTGTCTGCAGTCTCTGACCGTATCCTGTCCATAGGTTCTGACTGTCTCCTGTATTCTGTCCGCAGTCTCTGACCGTATCCTGTCT